AAGGGATGATGAGGGAAAATAAAGGCACCAGTCGAAACAACGCCTTTGCATCCTCGATGAAACCATCCTTGAAACGACCACCGTTAGACTCCTTGTTCTTTTCCAGAGAGCATCTTGTGACAGAGAAAAAGATGACCTTGAGAATTTCAAGAACAGCCGAACCTTGAGGCTTCGGCTTCACATAACGTCCCATTAGATTGCCAGCCACAAAAACGATAGTAGCAATGATAAAGGCAACCAAAGGGAAGGAAAAACTCGCAGTAAACGAGACCGACTCCACCAAAATCGGAGTAACAATACCACCAACAATAGAACCAAGATTGATAGAAGCATAGAAGTAGGTGTAATACCTCGTAATTAGTTCTTTATGCTCCTCAGGATGGAACTGTTGGGCTCCCATAACGTTCACACAACTCTTGATACCACCAGCACCAAAAGCAATAAGGAACAACAGCGAGACATGAATCATCCAAGGCTGACTGATCGAGTGTATCGTAGAGAGCGTAAGGAGAGCCAAGCCCGCCATATACACAAAGGAGAAGGCCAGAATAGTGAGATAAAGCCCGAGTATTGTGTCCGATATCACAGCAGATAGCAGGGGAAACACATACAAGATAGCGTTGAATGTCGATATGTAGGAGTTAGCACCAGCATCGTCAACCCCAAGATACTCCTTGAGGAAGATCTGGAGATTGGGCATCAAGCCGTAGAAGGCCAGACGCTCACATAACTCTTGTAGTAAAACGAACAAGACCGCCTTAGTCATAGGATGCCTATAGTATCGATACACGTTACCCGAGACGTCAGTCCACGTGTATGGTTTGCTGCTGGAGATAGAGTCCGACATCCACGATGAAACTTAAATACTGCGAATGATGAATTCAATGTAATGATGATGCTATCGTCTAGCTTCGGAGTAACGCTAGGCTTAATTGGAGCACCCAAATGGAGACAGCCTGCAGTGCGACACGCTAGAGGAAAGTCCGGGTGCTTCGCGATTGGTATAATCTCGTTATGTGATGAATTGTGTGCGGAGTGGTATCGTCGGTTCAAATTCGCCTGTTCTGTGATGTATTCTACAACTGCTGTCAATAGTTCACCAACATCTTTTCTCAGAGTGTTTATAGCGCAGAAATTTTTCCACATGTTTTTCTTCATAACAAATCGTTACTCCGACTTTGAATTCACATAAACACCAAACGTCTGAGTCGCAGAAACTAGGTGGCAGTTTTATTCTTGACTTCGGTCAGGCGTCCTCTCTCTCAATGTCATCCATGACCTCGAGGAGCATCGCAGCTTCCTCGAACATCTCTTCCTCTGTACGGGGCTTCCGCTCCTCATCCGAGGGGATGTCCATTCGAACACACTGTCGCTCATTGTCTTGAATCGCTACACATGAGCAACCATCACAACAGGTAAGTGTACCACGGCTCACCATCGTAGACCTTATCATTTTCTCCTTGCAAATTAAAGGCGTCCTTCGGTCCTCTAGGCATAACATGGATGTGGACGTGTTCAACAGTTTGCCCAGCAGAAGGGCCGTCCTGAATCAGAATCATACTGATTCAATACTTAGATGAACCGATTGTTGATTTTTAGTGCCATACCAACACACCGTGAACTCCCCTGAAAT